AGTAGTAGTAATAGTAGAAGGAGGTTCATTATTATATATGGCGGCGACAGCAAGGAAGCCATACGTTTTCTCTGTATTAATTTCTCCCAATAAATTATATTCAGTGCAATAGTATCCAGACAGACGTAGTTCTCTCGACCTGCATACCACATCACAAGCCACACCACAGATCATCGGCGCAACATGCAATGAATTTCACGCGTACAACGAATTGTTGGCTTGTTACGGCGCCCCTCGGAGAGGCCAAAAAGGCAAAAAAAATTGCGAAAAAAACCGCAAATACACGGATTTTCAACGCAGGTCCCATGCTTCGTAAGTACAATTATATCAGTATTATTATTTCTCAATCCGAGCTCACAGACTCGGTACGCGATGTCTCTTTGAATACACGGGTCCCAGTCGGGTCCACGCTTACCGGAACGTCGAAGTGGTGGCCTTACAATTCTCGTGACGTCGTTCGATGCTCCGCGTGTGCTGGGATCGCCGTCTAGCTGAACAGTGGGCGGCGTTGAGCCAGCGTTACGTCGGTAGTTTCGCGCGGTAGCGCCGTGGTCGCCACTCCGGGTCAACCATCGATCTGGATATCGATATTTTCCTTATCGCGGTTTGCGGGCTCCTGAACTTTGCAGGATTCCGAACTTGCCCTCGGGAACTTGTTTGCCGCAGAAAGTCTTTTAGGCAGCCCCGTTTCTATTCTGGATGATCCGTGTTGTATTTTCCGGTGGACCAGTACGTTGCGGGAACCGTCTCTGAATGATCAAGCCCGAGCAATCCCGTTGTCCTTTCGGGATGCTGTCGCGGGCCCCTCGGGAATAGTCATCTCTGTCTTGAGATGCAGGCGCCTGTTTTCTCCCTTCAATATCGCAGACAGTCGGCTCTCCGATGCTGTAAGGAATTTCAGAGCAGTAACGGCCCTTATGTGACTTGGTACGATAAATTCTATTAATTCAATGACTTACATGGCCCCGCGCGTCTCGGCCATGCCGCTCCATCCTCTTCTTTTGCTCCTCTCCGTGCCTTTTTTTCCTACAACATTCCTTCTCGGGACTCAACTCGATTTCCGTTAACAAATCAAAAATGGCGAGTCGACGACAGAGTCGCCGCTCGCCCGCAAAAACCAAAATCGGAGCGCTATCCGAACCCTCTCGGCCGGGCGCATCCGCCTTTGTGACGAGTGCAAAATGCCACGTCACAATATATATATGGTAATTGTATAAGCTTATATATTTATACAAATTTGGAGTGAAAAGTGGTCCAGTAAGTAAAGTCATAAGACGATAAGCCTAAGGTCCCAGGTTCGAATCCAGTTCGAACCAAACATTTCACATGTCTGTCGGGAAAAGGTAAAGAAGGAGGATATGGAGAGATGAGGAAGAAGGGAGGCAGGTTCAGATGGAAGGAGAAGAAGAAGGAGGGAGAGGAAAGAGAAGGAACGGAAGGAGAAAATGATAGAGAGGTGGAAGGAAGAAGAGAGGGGGAAAAAGACAAGGATTTGGAAATGGAAAAGGAAGAAGGAGGAGGAAATTGTAATGTGTGAGTTGATTAAGTTGATTAAGATTGTAGAGGTTTGGGAACGCCCTTATCAGAAAAAAGCGCCGTATTGTATTGTATTGTAACGAGTTGGATAAGAGAAGTTGTAAAGATTCGAGAACGCTCCTATAAAAAAAGAGCACCATAATGTATTGTATTGTAATGAGTTAGATAAGAGATTGTAAAGGTTCGGGAATGCTCCGATTAGAAAAAAGCGACTTGTAAATCCCTAGGGAACACAATAAAAAATGTTATGTTATAATTATACAATATAAAATAAAAGCTCTATTCGATAAAATCAAATTACAAAAAGAGGGCAAATGTCGTAGCAAGAAAGTCGTGCTATAAAAATACGAGGGTGACTATTTATATTTCGGGAACTGGCAACACTGATGTCATGTGAGTCCATCTGACGGTTCCATCGTGAAGCTTGACATTTATTTATTTTATATTTAGTTGAAAGTTTTGTTTCGGCAAAAGATGGAACTGAATCGTGAACATTTTTGTGCGATGATTTTTTTACGACTTTTGACGTGGATTATTACAACAAGAGTGCATCAATCAACTTAATTTGACTTTTGGCGATGAAGCTCTATCAAAAACCACTGTGTATCGTTGGTATAGTAAATTCAATCGTGGTCGTAGTTCGCTGTCCGACAAATTTTGTGAAGGTCGTCCAAAATCGGTTATCTGTAGTGCCAACATCGATGCTGTGTAGGAAATGATTAAGCAAGATCGTCATGTAACCTATTGTGAGATTGAGGCATCCCTAAGCATTAGTTCCACCAGCATATATGCGATTTTACATGAACACTTATCTGTGCGAAAGTTATGTTCGCGTTGGATCCCACATAATTTGATAATCGCTCAAAAAAGGCTCGTGTCGATTGGTGCAAAGAAATGCTTAAGAAATACAATCGCGGTGCTTCAAAAGACGTTTATAAAATCGTGACAGGTGACGAATCATGGATATATTCGTATGAGCCCGAAAGTAAGAAGCAGTCGACTATATGGGTGTTCCAAGATGAACCAAATCCAACAAAAGTTGTTCGCGCACAAAGCACTTCAAAGAAAATGGTGGCCTGTTTCTTCGGAAAAACTGGTCATATTGCAACAGTGCCTCTAGAGGATCGTAGAACAGTAAATTCTGAGTGGTACACAACTATCTGTTTGCCAGAAATCTTCGGGGAAATAAGGAAAACAAACAAGAGACGTCGGATTGTTCTTCATCATGACAATACGAGCTCTCACACATTGGTTCAAACAAGAGACTATTTGAGCACTCAAAACATCGAATTGATGGGTCATTCGCCGTACAGCCCTGATTTGGCACCCAATGATTTCTTTTGGCTCCCATCTGTGAAGAATAAACTGTGTGGTCAACGATTTTCATTGCCCGAAAAAGCTATTGAAGCGTTCAAAAATCATGTTTTGGAGATACCTCATTTGGAATGGAATAAATGCTTTGAAAATTGGTTTAAGCGTATGCAAAAGTGTATCAATCATCGTGGCGAGTACTTTGAGAAACAATAAAAATATATTCGCAGCTTAACTATTTGTTTTTGTTCCTATTCCCGAAATATAAATAGTAATCCTCGTAATTGACTAATATGTCAAGTGAAATAAGAAATAAAACGTTTCGGTTTATTTTAAACCATCTTCAGTTAAAATAGAGTTACAAATTATAATCATTTAAATATTAAGGCGCAGTGAAATAACAAATACAAAACGCACGCATTATACGATAAGTGTCGCATTGGAATTGGCCAAGATATTAAGTCTTAGGAACAAAAAACTGTAATACAAAATAATAATTACTTGTAAACGATTCTACTCGACATTATATGAAGATATGACTTTTTTTTAAAGAATAATTATTATCATATTAAAAACAGAGAAAAATCTATACTAGATTATAATAAGCTTACATTAGGGGGTGAAATGGTAGATCAGTAGGTTAAGTCGTAAGACAGTATGCCTAAGGTCCCAGGTTTGAATCCAATTTGGGCCATTCACCCTACATGCCTGCATGGTTCAACTGGAAGGAGAAGGAGAAAAAATGGATTAGGAAGGAGAGGAATTGGAGACAAGGAGTAAGGAAATGGAAGAAGGAGGAAAGGGGAGAGTAGGTGCGAATGGAATAAAAGGGATCATAGAGGTTTGGGAACGCTCCTATCAGAAAAAAGCGCCACACATGTAACATATTGTAACATACTGTAACAGGAGAAGGAGGATGTAAGGGGTTTGGCGGTCCCCTTGAAAACGCCCCGGCAACCTACAGGGAGTCCGGAATAAACTTGAATTGAATAAGCTTACATTATACAGTGTTATAAAATTTAAAAAATATATAAATATAAATGTAAAACGGTATTATAAAATTAAAATTAATACTGATTGAAAAACGGTGTTATAAATTAAATAACATGTTTAAAAAATTGGCAAGTAACAAACATATACTCACAGATATAGTTCATAACGAATACGCACATTGACAGCTGCATGAGAAACTTATATAATATAGGTAGAGACCGGAAGAGAGCATGTTATGTATGATAGTAATATCAGAGACCCACTGAGAAATGTTAGGATGTCAAACTTTTAGTTAAAAGAGGGCCTAAAAAGAATAAAACGTAAGAGGGTGGGGGAACTGAGACAAGTTAGTGGGGAGGAAGCGAGTACAGGATTGGCAAATAATCTTCAGATAGCGACTCAGTGTCATTTTGTTTATTCAAACCCCTAAATTGTCTTTTAATATGTACCATTTCCGATATGATTTTTTCCCAAAGTTTCGGTTCTTCATCCAATATTTCCACATTGTTCCAATCGAAATCACGATATATCATAGTATTCTATTTTATGGGTGGAAATGACCGAAGGGGATGAAATGTTGTTAATATCAGAACGATGTTCTTTGATTCTGGTTATCAGTCTCCTTTTTGTCTGTCCAACACGCTTCGCAATCCGAACACTTTATCTTATATACTACATTACTACGAGACGAGTTGTTTAGTTTATCGTTACCTGATTTGATAAATTTATTTAAAGAGTTAAAATAAGAGAAAGAAATATTAAAATTAAATTTTTTTAGTAAGCCCACGAAACTTCTCTGATATATTTCTGACATAGGGTATTGTAAAAAAGTTATTATTAATTTTGCTAGTGGAACGGTCAGTATTATTACATTTATGGATTAACTTTTTTATCCTTTCGTTGATTGTAGTAAAAATTAAAGGTAGCGATAATCATTCTCAAGAAGGAAACTAATAATCAAAACCAGATTTTTTTCGTAAAAACATGGGTCCGAAATTCTAAGAACTCTATCTATTAAGCCAAAAATCACACCTTGTTTATGAGAGATGGGATGGTGAGAGTGAAAATTAAGGAACCTCCCAGAAAAGAGTTTATAAAACCAGTCAAAAACCAACAAACCCCTGTTAACAGAAATGGCGATATCTAAAAAACTGATGTGGTCACCACCAATCTCTATCGTAAACTATAGTCTATTATGAATTTTTTTAACATGTTTTTTAATTTATAACACCGTTTTTCAATCAGTATTAATTTTAATTTTATAATACCGTTTTACATTTATATTTATATATGTTTTTAAATTTTATAACACTGTATAATGTAGGCTTATTGTAATCTAGTAGAATTTTCTCTGTTTTTAATATGATAATAATTATTCTTTAAAAAAAGTCATATCTTCATATGATGTCGAGTAGAATTGTTTACAAGTAATTATTATTTTGTATTACAGTTTTTTGTTCCTAAGACTTAATATCTTGGCCAATTCCAATGCGACACTTATCGTATAATGCGTGCGTTTTGTATTTGTTATTTCACTGCGCCTCAATATTTAAATGATTATAATTTGTAACTCTATTTTAACTGAAGATGGTTTAAAATAAACCGAAACGTTTTATTTTTTATTTCACTTGACATATTAGTCAATTATTTTTATAGCACGACTTTCTTGCTACGGCTCTTTGCCCTCTTTTTGTAATTTGATAATTATACAAATTCGAAGTTGTGAATAAACTTTTAAATTACATAAGTCTTGAATTTTCAAATTATTATTTTATAACGTTTTCAAAGAGATGAGCTTTTTCTTACCGTCCAATTTCCTCTGCCATTGATTAAGAAATTTTCCGGAATTTGTCCACGATTTCTTCTATATCGACCAGGAAAACGTTCTAACGATAATTCATGAAACAAGTCGCTAATAACAATTACGTGTTCCAGACGATCCATATTATACAAATTATTAGAAGGATTCAATTGTGGCGGATCACGTACAATGAGGGATCCATACTGTCCATCTATCATATGCACCGATATATGTGAATGATAGAAATGTGTACCTGAATTGTTTGCTATAAATTGGTACCTGTGGAAAAAATTCAGAAATAATGTTAAAGAAAATTTAAAAAAACTTAAGAAAGAGATAAAAAATAGCTTTAAAACTTTCACATATTGACTATTATAATTCATCAAAATTTTTGCATTAGAAAAATTTTTGTTTTATTAATTAATCACTCTTGATATCTTATTATATGTGTTGAATACTAGTGTAAGGAATAACCATACTTTAAGATGACGGTAGTTGTCAGCGTGCATGGCAATTACATGGAACATAGGCGCATGCGTTCTGCGATATCGCAGGTGATTGGCTTTTGCCTTCAGAGAATGTAGAAAGGGCAAACGCGAGTCGGTCAGATGAGTAAATCTTGTTAAGATAAGGGAATAAAGATATTGTTTAACCGGGTCTTGGTGTTTTGCATCTACCTAATCCACGTTACTACATTCTATACGTTTGCCTTTTTTCAACGTTTTCTCTGAACCTCCTCTACGAAAAGACCATTCTACAACCTCAGAAGTGGGATGGAGGCTTTCCTCAGACGTAAAAGTGGATGTTTCTTAAAAAATTTTTTTTCTTCGGGTTGGCTTCAGTCTTTGTTTGTGCGTTACGTCGGTCTTTGTTCTTGCGTCGGTTGATGTAGCCTATTTTGCGTGTTAACGGGAAGTAATACATCCGGCGTCGGTGATTGTTTCTATCGTCGCATATGATTGTTTTGCCATTGACTTATAGGTTTTATGGCCGTTCTCAATTGAAACGTGACCGGTCCTTTGGCTTCGTCATCTTGTACACAGGAAAATTATATTTAAAGAAGAAGCGGCCATATTGGGATGCGCAGTGCTATTTCCGAGATCTCAGAGTGAGCGCAGAAGAAAGGAAGAAGAAAAAAGCCTGCGTGAGCGAGTGGGCGACACATCTAATTTGTCTACGGTATCAATCACGTTGAACTCATACGCAGTCTTTAACGCATTAAACTCGTTCGTGATGTCGTCCGTGTTGGACTCGTTTGTGATGTGCAAAGATAATTGCTTGGACCTTGCCTGCGACGTTAACTAAGTTAAACTTGTCTGGGGTGCAGCAATAACCGCGTTAGATTTGTTCGCGGCGTGTAGTGTTAACCACGCTAAATCCGTTCGTGACGTTATCCATATTGGATCTGTTGCAGTTACTATATAATATTAATAGACTTTCTATAAAGTATATAGCGCTGTAAAATAACGGACATTGTCTTGTGAGTCGTTCCCAATCTTGAAAATTTTGGGCGCGCGTTGCGATTGTCAGTCATTTTGGATTGTGGTGGTAGTGTGCGGGAGAACTTGTGTCGTGTTTCTCTTTTGGCACTGCGGTTATTGAAACATTATGTCAATTTCCGGTACATCGATCGAGCGCATAAGAGAGCAACTTAAAAAGTTATTGCTTTCCTTTCTAAGAAAAGAAGCGAAAAAATATGATATCTAGTTGTCTATAGAGGATTATCATCAATGGGTCGATGCAATAGTTGGATCACTTATTAAGGAATGAGCCTCTCAGACAGAATGCAACCTAAGTGGCAGGGTTCACTGACGAAGCCCATTCACCTGAAGCTGCAGCAGTAGTAGTAATTTACAAGATGATTCTGCTTTTGTTATTTTTCTTTTTGACTCAGGACTACAAACACTTTGTGGACAAAGCTCAATCACAATCAAACTCGCTAATAATGGAACAGCTTTTTATGCAAAGAGAGCAAATGGCTCAGCAGCAGAGAATATTACTGCAGATGTCATACCAACAGATATTAATTCAACAATTCTTCACTGCCATGCACATTAATCAAGGAATCCCACAAAACCAGTCATATCTCAGCAATAATATGGGATTATCTTTTAATCAAGATCCAGAGCCTCAGTCAATTAATAGAATTCCAGATATCTCTTCAGCGACTACAGGTCAAGCTGTGAAATTCTTATCATCGCAGATCTTCACTTTTAGAGATGAGACAGATGATGAAGACATTGAAAATTGTATAGAGAAAATAAAAAATGTTGCGGAAGTTCACAACCTGTCTCCGGTAGTGATGTTGGCAACCTATCCACATCCAAATTAACTAAGATTGCACGGCGTTGGCTAGATTTAGCCACAGTAGAAGTCAATCGCTTCTGGTTTTCTTTCAAGTCAGCCATCATCAATCACTGCAAAAAGGAAGTCCTTTTCCATGTCGTTATGCAGAAGATTAAAGTACGCAGATGGAGTTGTGTCTCAGAAGCTTTCAGAGATTATATAATGGACAAATTGGCACTGTTGCAGTGTCTTAAGCTAGAAGATCAGAATAAAATCAAACTACTAATTAATGACATTAATAATCTCTCCGTCAAATGTGCTGCAGCTCCTCTGCGAGTGAGTTCATTTAACCAGTTTATAAGTGAAGTACATTTTATTGCTTAATCTTGGCAATGTGTTCAAAAAGTTAGTATACAAACTCTAAAGACAAAACCAAATACATAACTGTTAAAAGTGTCAAACTAACAATAAGTGCTTTATTTTCCAATACAAGAGAGTTTACAGTGCAGTGGCTCAAAAACTCAGGCATTACATTTATTGTCACGAGTAGTAATACTAGGGGAGTTCTAACCCAGGGGCAATGAGGGGGGGTGAGGGGCGGGGGGAATCGGGGGCGAGGGGGTGACGTCACGCGGGGGAGGGGGTCTTATCAGTAGATAAGCTTATCTTTTGTTTATAAACATATCAGATTACCTGATAAGGGGATCATGTTATCTGATATGTTTATAAACAAGATAAGATAAGGGGATCATGTTACCTGATATGTTTATAAACAAGATAAGATAAGGGGATCATGTTACCTGATATGTTCATAAACAAGATAAGATAAGATAAGCGGCGTCTTTGAGCGGTATCTAAGTTTTCGCAGAAAATCCAAGATAAGCGGCGTCTTTGAGCGGTATCTAAGTTTTCGCAGAAAATCTAAGATAAGCGGCGTCTTTGAGCGGTATCTAAATTTTCAGAAACAAGATAATATAAGCGGCGTCTTTGAGCGATATCTAAGTTTTCATAAACAAGATAAGATAAGATAAAAATTCTACGAATGGCTGCCGCCGTTTCTTAATCCAGGCTGAGCGCCGACAATTGGATATCTAAGTTTTCTCTGAAAATCCAAGATAAGATATCTATTACAGCGATATCTATTACAGCGATATCTAAATTTTCTCCAAAAATCCAAGATAAGATAAGATAATTCTGCGAATTATTAATTTAAAAAATGTTTCCTTTCTTCTTTCCTTAGATATCCTTATAGAAAAAATATGTATAAAGAATAATGTATAAAATTATGTAAAAACTAATGTAAAAAATATGAATAAAAAAGTAATGAATAAAATATTAACAATTTAAAAAAATGTTTCCCTCCTTCACATCTCTCTCTCGCCGCAGGCCCGAGCCGCCACATCCAGGCTTGGATCTCTCTCGCAGCATCTCTCGTTCACCGTCGCATCTCTCGCCGCAACATCTCTCTCTCGCCGCAGGCCCGAGCCGCCACATCCAGGCTTGGATCTCTCTCGCCGCTACCTCGAGCCGCCACATCCAGGCTTGGATCTCTCTCGCCGCAGGCCCGAGCCGCCAAATCTCTCACTCTTAAATGTGTGCGTCTTCTCTCTTACTATCACGCTGCATCAAATGCGTGCTGAATCCAGGCTTGGATCTCTCTCTCACTCACTCTCGAAGGCGTACGCCTCGTAAGATAAAATTATCGATTTTCTCTCGCTGTCGCTGCATGGATGGTCTTATCTCGTATGATAAAAATATCGATTTTTTTCTCGCTGAATGCAATGTCCTTGACACAATAATTATATCTCGCAAAGTATGTAACGGGTGGAGCGCAAATAAAGTACACCATGATATATACATATAAGTATTTATTCATCTTATATTTAATACATAATTATATATAGTTTTATTACATATTAAAAACTAAAGCCACCAGCTCGCAATCGACAAGTTGGTGCATGTTGAAGGCATTGCTAGCGCGTATCGCATTCGACAATTCTCTCGCATTCGTTACAGTGGATGCAATATTGGAGAATTGAGTATATTTGATATCAACCGTTGTGACGAGCCTCGTCAAACGATCGAACATTATTTCAATAAACTCAGAAATAAATATTTTTATCGGCTCTCGTATGCTGCCTTCTAAGCCGGGCAATAGAGCCAAGGAAACGAAACTAAACGGAACTGTATCTCAATTTGAGATCCCGATTTCGAAACTTCCTTCTTCAACTTCAAACTTTCCCGCTTCAGCGACTTTTCGGACCTATATTTTTCTCGCTTATTTCTCCATATGTAAGTTTCGAAGATCTCAAATTGAGATACAGTTCCGTTTAATAACTTGGCTCTATTGCCCGGCTTAGAAGGCAGTCAATACATGAATCGAGCTCGAACATACGATGTAACGTCGATTCGACCTTCATCATGCGCACGTCCGCTGATTCGAGACTTATGAGCTTGGTGCCGTTTATCTTGTGAAATCGCACTGTTAGCGGCCCGACACTTATGCAATTATACACATCGTTGTTGGAGGAGGAGTCATTGTTCAGGTAATTGTGAATAGCGTGGCGTTGCTCGTAGAGTCCTTTCCACGTTTCAAGAGATAGTAATAGCTGTTTTCCCCGATGATCTCCTATGGCGATCTCCACATAACTCGGCGGATCCACTCTGATGCCGATTTCGAGGAATTTGAATTCCGTTGCCGTCAATGCGTATCGTCTTCCAAGTATGCGAACCGCACGAGGCTCCAGCGAAACGCCGTAAAAATTAGATAAAAAAGATAAAATAAAATTAAAAAATATAAAATATATAAAAGATACAAAAAAGTTATACTTACTCGTCGCATTTCTTCTCGCACGTTTCTTCATGTCTCGGCATGTAGTAATTCATGCTGCTGCTGCTTCTTTGAACCGAGGGTATTAAAAAGTGAACCGTCAGTTAGAACAGTCGACGAAAGACTGATTGTATAATAAGGTACTAATAATCGAGTAACGGTC